CCTGTCCAGCCAGCCCTGAGCCATGATCACCTTTTGTTGGATTAGGGCAAAGACCATGTGCCTGGCGGCTCCCTGTGAAGGCCCCATGCGGGCAACCACCGGGACCATATGGATCACCAAGGCCGTAACTTCGGGCAGCAGCTTCGTCAGTGGCTCCTCGTCACCATGGTCAAAAACCGCTGTGGTGATTGCTCAAGGTTTTGACACTCACGCTCGGACAAGCCTAGCAAGGTCTGTCTCGTCGAAGGAAGGCTGATTCAACGACAACGACAAGTGCACAACAGCTAGCTCAAAGCCTATCTTACAGCAGTCCTTCATAACAGCCAACAAGCTATACCCCAAAGACCCACGACCTGCTCAAGGTTTCGGCGTAAGAATGAGGAGTTAGAGTATCATATATCTCGGTAAGACGCAGAATATGAACAGCTTCGGCACTGCCAATTTCGCAGGGCCCTCTTTGTGGTCTGTTCCTCGAATCGCTGATCTTACCAAGTCCTTGCATCAAGTTCATGACCCAAAGACAAACGCGAAGCAGAACCAGAATCGATACTTCGGCAACCACCTGAAACAGCAGCAGCTCCTGAGGCAAGCACGTTCAAAGCCCGACACAGAGTGTCATCTTCGTCGCAGTCCATGGCCATTGCACCCAATGTCAGCACAAGGACTGATGATTCTAGAGCTAACTTGCTGAGTGGTTAATCAGAGTCGGGGGCGTGCTCAAGCCCCACTCCCGCGAGACAAGTGTAGAGGACTGCCTCTAAAAAAAAACACCGTGAATACATCCTATGAATTGCTACAGCTGAACCTTACCGTCAAATCCGCAAAGGCTACGGGCGCTGTGAACTCCAGCACTCTGCCATGACCTTCTGCAACTGTTTGTGTAAGTGGATCGCGGTATGCAGCGCTGTGGCGAGGTATGGGTTACCAGATCCTGTGCAATTCCAGGTGCAGCTGGCAAATATCTTCCCTTCCAACAGACTGTCTTCTGACAAGCGTAACTCAAAGTCACGACTGCTCCAGCAGGTGTGCCGCATTGGAGTAGTCCGGCCTAGAGTAGCAGATAGCATCTCGGCATCTCGGCATGCCACACAAAGCCCTCGCCAACATCCGAATGTGTTCAGGCACCCAGCTCGTAGACGAGCGTGCCACATTGGAAGATGCCGAAGCTCGTGCGGCCTTTCGGCCAGAAACCATCCCGTTTTTGGATGATATACTTGATGCTCCCTCACGTTGAGCGGGCGTCTCAACCCTGACTTTAACAAACCCCATATCAGATGGAAAGCATAGGTGCAGTGGTCGAGGGTCTGACGGCCAGCGCGGATCTCATCGAAAGCATCAAAGAGCAATGAATTTGTTTCAGGAGTGTCCCGGCAGGCCTCGGAGTCCACATCAGGAGCTGTCAAACCGGAACAATACATGATCATGTAATGATCATGTAATACACAGCCTGACATCTGAGCTCCTGTTCGCATTGCGACTGGATCAGCGGCGTTTGCGGTGCAAATCGAAGCCATGCTGATCCTGAAGTTCAATCGCATGTCACAACCCTGCTGAGGCATGATTCAAGAGGTGTGTCCTTACACGACAATCCAAGGCTCGCAGCATGAGCCCGAAGACGTTCTCGAACTCAGAGACCACTGATCCTAGGCAGTCGACATCTAAAGTCTGGGATTTGTTTGTTGGAGCTCCGCAGGAGCAGATAGCAGAAGACACAGAGACGCAGTGGTCATCCTATAATATCGGGAAAAAGAGCGGTGACACATAGTTGTTTGCCTCCCACCTGGCTAGGACGAACCTACGCATAGTTAGTACACTCAGTTTCTCTTGGGCAGTGGCCAGCGAGCAAGTCCTTCCTGCGGTAGTTCACGGTTGATTCGGTTGGTGTGGTGTTTGTGCCAGGTTGTGCCACCACACATCTTGGCTCCGAAGCCCTTGGGCAGCTGACGTTTACGTTGGAACAAATCCCTATGGCTCCTGTCTGACCAGACGGGCGCCAAAGCAAGAAGCTCTGCCTTGACTTGATGAGCACCGAGAAAATGGCCGAAGGCCTGCTGGCAAGTTGGCCGTGAGCTTGATTCCGGTCCATGCAGGCTCAGAACACATGGAACAAAAACAGCACTTGAGGTCTGCTTCGAGATAGGGCGAGTTCCCTATGCTGAAGCACTTCAAACACGAGTAGGTAGGTTGTCCTGTCGCTCGCATTGCTGGCAGAGCCCCTTGCTTAGCAAGCGACCAGCAGCATGTTCGCTCGACCGGGTGTGGCGAAGCCATATTAAACTTCAGCTGCTTTGACAGCACAGCTCCTTTGAGGAGCTCTTTAAAATCCAGGAACAAGAAACATGAAATGCAGCGATCATGCTGCTTTCACTTCACAGCTTTGCAGGCAAAGGCAAGGACAGAGACATCAAAGCCAGGCTGATGCCCAAAAAAGCGTTCAGACCTGCTGATCTCAAGCCTTACCCTTGAAAACGAATCATCCTTGGCATGCCCAGGCATGGGCCAGGCAGCCATTCAAACGAGTTCCAAGCCCCGAAGCAAAGGCCACTGACGGAATTCAGGACTATCCTGTCTTGGAGACTGATCTGCTTACACGTGAAGCGTGCTGTCAGCTGGGATGATCAAACTTGGAAAGTGTTCAGCCTTTCCGCTGGTCCGACTTATGAAACTAAGCCCGTAGCGCCGTGGCACCTCCCTGCAAAATACCTGGCTACAGATGGCAACCACCAAGCAGACAAATGTGCATCTACAGTATCCGATATTCCTTGCACGAGGCCTGTGCATCGGAACGCTGCTCTCGAGGGAGCGGAGGAAGTAGGGCAAAAATCCGAGATCTTGGCGCTTCGTGTCTGAAGCGCAAGGTAAAGTCTTCAAAATCCATTCTTCGCAGCAGAAGCGACTTGGTGCGCCCCACGCGTTGCGACTACATCGAGATCCAGGCTCGCCGTCACTTGGACTGACCGGGCATTTCACCTCAGCAGGGTGGGCTTGAGGCGCGAATTGTCTAATAGAAGTGGCTTCTGGCCCGCTGTCGTCATGTCATGCATCATGAAGTAACCCGAGGTTAGTCAGCATCAACTCTTCCAGACATTGTACGCATACGCATTGTTCCAGCTACATGCAAATTGAGAACTGCCCTCCTAGTCTGAGCAAATTCAGGCGGGCAGCACTCGCTATTTAGTTGGGCTCCTCACTGGTGTAGCTTGCTGCACCACTTGCACCGCTCGTAGGTTCGCCATCCGGCGCTGAGCTCAGCTTTGTCGATGTTTTCGTGGCCGAAGCCCCCATTCGAGAAGTGACTGCAGAGGTGTAGCTTGAGAAGCCTCGCTTTTTCATCATCTTGGATATCCTCCTCAGCTGCAGGTGCGCACAATAGTCTGCCGCAAAAGCTGCAGGCCGCCTACGCCCAAAGAGAGTTCCACGAGCTTCACCATTACCATGCATGCAGTCGGGCTCAGGTAATGTCTCGACCTGTTGTGCCTGTGATAGAGGCATTGACATGAGTTCTTGCATGCTTGTTAGAGTGTGCTAGTCCCACGAGGCATCGGCAAAACCCTTGTGCAACCGACGCTGCCCATCAATATCGAATCAAAGGCCCGAGCAAGCTCGAGGCAGACAGCCACACTAGGCCGGCCTAATTTCCCTTTCGAGCAAGCAATGCCAACAAACCTGCCAATTAGTCTTCATGTTCTGTCTAGTGCTTCTCAGATGCAACAACGACTTGTCAAACTTCTTGACCAAGCGATCCAGCCTGCGGTCAAGGTCATGTGTTGCACACCGCCCTGCTGAATTCGGACATGACTCTTCTTTGCGCCGTGCAGACGTGCGAAAACAGGATCTTCAGCTTCGGCCTTGCATCCTCCGAAGCAATCTCCAAGGCTTCTTCTTTGGGCCACTGCATGGATGTCTCCGTAGAACCGCCGAACCTGCACAGACTCTGGAGCCAGGAGCTAGGAGAGGCCATACTTCCAACATCTCTCATGTTCAAAGGGGTTGGCGCCAGAGCCACGAGTCACAAACCGGACAACTGCAAAGGAATCATCTCAGCTGTCAATCTAGACATGAAGCCTCAGCGCCACTTTGATAGAAGCCATGCAAAAGCGCCACATGCATTTGTCGCACCTGATAATGCTCTCTTTGTTCTGTGGGTGAAGGGATGCGCACTCCATGATCTGCACGCCACCCGGAAGACCAATATCGCCTTCGCCGAACCTGCTGTCCCAAACTCCATCATGAACAGTTCCGGTTCGCAATCGGCGAGAAAAATATATATTCGTTTCTGAGGAGCTCCAAAGGCTCGTCCATGACGAGGCTATCCACAAACTGCTTGAACTTGCGCCTCGGCAATCTTACCTCTCAGTTCTCGTAGAACTTGATGCGTTCTACTTATTCTACTTGCTCTGACAAGCTCCAAGATGATGCTATCAACTTCCGTGCCGCCCAGTCTTGTGTCGAGTAGGCTTTGTGATGCAGCTAGACGACCGACGAAGCGTCTGCATCGTGTCAATGGAGATCTGCATTCGCCTAAGTTTAGGGCAGGCTCAGGGATGAAGGTGCTTGTAATGATGGAGATGTCATCTTTACTTTCCGCAAGGTTGCCTCAGAATTGAATAACCCACCATACTGTCGTAGATCTCCTGGTGCGCGCATGTCAGCTGCGCGACGAAGATGTTGAAGGCGCCGATGACCACCTAAACATGCAACTAAATGTAGCGATAGTTGGCGCAGCCAGCTTCTTCTGCAAGCTTAGGTGCTGCAACCATGAACAAGCCGATCGCCACCATAAGAAGCGGAACTGTGGAGATCTCCGGCATCCCTGGCAAGTGGCAGAGCTTTGGAATAACATGGTGCCAAGACGCCATGCACAAAACCGTGGGGCACTGGAGTGTTCTAGACTTGGTCACATGAGGCTCCTGTCACTTTGTCGGTGGAGCCATTATATGCTGTCTGTTCGGCATGTCTATCAGAGCCTCGGTTGTCTTGCATCTTCGCCGCAATCTGGAAGAAGCGCATACCAGCCGTCGGCATGTCTTTGAAGGTGTCAACTCAGGACGGGATAGCGCTCGCCAAGACGAAGACATACAATATACAAAGTGACAATTTTGCTCGGTGCGGACACACGGCCTGAAGTGTGGCTGACTGCCACACACGTGGCAAACATGATCACCAGGAAGGCTACCGCCGTAATCATCAGGAAAAGCTCTGGTAAGACATTGATTGCCACGAGGACATATGCCTTGGCAGTGTGGCATATCTTGAACACGATATTTTCGCTGACGGTGTAAGTGACCAGGAGTTTCACAAACCGCACGAGATAGCACGGCTTAAGATGCTCAGCGACACTGTTCCCGAGTCTGCGTGGACTTCAGCTGCAAGCAAGCAACGTTCAACTTGATCGACAACGCTGCAAGGTCCAGAAGCAAGGCCATGTACAAAGCGACAATGAACAAAGAGAGGATGGAATACCTGAGAGTCCAATGGGGGTAGACTGGAAAGCTTGGGAACAAGAGGCTGCAAACACGGCATTCTGTGTCCTTCTAGCGCTCCTATCCGGTGCTGCCAGGCTTCAACGAACTTTCTGCTTCCTACATCTTCTCTGCTCTAGAAAGGGCCAAGTTGCACCTCCCGGACGCCCTTCCGAGCAAACTTCCGAGTGAGACACAGGAAAAAAAAACAGGAAAAAAGACAGAGCTCTCACTTCACACAAAAGCGCCCTGGCCCCGCCTTGGCCTCCGGACAGAGATCGGTAAAGAGACCTGCTCTTTGTGAACACATCCATCGAGCAGACTCCAAGGCGCTGCAATGCGCCAAACCACGGCCTGAGCCCTCAAAATCACCGTCGTAGTGCTGCAAGCAGGACCTGAGCCGTGTAAGGTATGGCCCACGCTTGAGCCATCACCGCTCAAGCAGAGCCCACCACTCAGGAAGCAGGAATGAAACAGCAAAGGGGCAGCACAGGCTCGATGAAGAACATGACGATCAGAGCCTTTTCGTTTGTCTGCGGTATTTCTGATCAACGGCCCTGATTGTAGGGAAATGCCACGTAGTAAGTCCCGGGCAGAAGCCAGTAAGCAAGAAACTGGCTCCCGCCAGTTGTCAACCATTCGTTTGGGAATGGGCATGTTTGCAATAGTAACCTTAGCTTCTCCATGTCTGCTTTCGCGTGCAAGACTTCTGCGAGGCCCAACTTCCCAGGAAGATATGGAAAATTATGGAAAAAACTGATATGGCGAGATGCCAAATCCCCATCCTTGATAGCTCTGCATATGTGGCGGACCCGGCCGTAGATCAGCTGCGTCATGCCTCCAGCGAAGAATGTCACATGAGGGTGAGGGTTGGGCAGGGTCTCGGCGGGGTGTCTCTGTTTTGTAGGGCTCATCAACTCAGCAGACAGCGCCCTGCTTTCCATGCTAAATCCATGGGCTTGCGCAAACAGCTGCAGCGCGCCTAAGAAGTAGATGATGGAACGGAAGGTGAACATGGCAATCCTTGACGACATCTCCGCTTGCGCCTCGGATGATTGTTCAATGCTGTTCCTAATTGGAAGATGTACTGGGGAATGGCCAAATCGGAACTCAATGACGCTTTTTTCTTCTCTGAACTACCCGGGAAGTTCAGCAAGGACAGCTCCGGATCCTGCGAGGTCGGAGAACCAGCATGCCCGTGAGGAGACCGAACAAAAACTCAGGTGCTGCATGGCATGACCAGACGAACAAAGCAACCAACTGCTCTGACCTACACATGCAACACTCCAACCCAAGCCAGTCCTGGAATAGACGCTCCATGCCAGGAGCCAGCCGCACACTCCGCACCCAACGCACCTTGTGCAAGTGAAGCAGGTTGCATTGCATGCCTGTCCGGTGTCTCTAGACTCTAGACATCGGGCCCCGACAGTAACTTTGCGTGCCGCTGGAAAGGTCGAGGCAGAGGAAGTGCTCAATGAGGCGAAAAGCGGGGCGGTGAGCATGGCCAACACAGCATCCTGCGACGACCACTCCCAGACTGAAGTTAACACGAGCCCAGCGACAAAAACTACGGTTTTTTCACGCTCTGATATCCGGATGCGCTAGGTGAGGGCGTGAAACACACAGTTGGGGGGCAAGAAGCTCCCCCCGCAAAAAATTACCCAAAATGACAGGGCGCAATGATTCAATGGCAATACTCAATCACACGCCATGACCTCTTCAGATAGTCAGCTGGCCACGCCTACAAGAGATGGAGTCCGGAAAATCACCATGACCTAGCCAGATTAATCGCTCCAACCTTGAGACTGAAGAAACATCCACCTGAGTCGGAGCTTTTCCTTACCGGCCAAATTTGACATCTGCCAGCACTTATGTGTGTTCGCAGCTGTTGCGTGTGACTTCTTCGAAAAGACATGCCCTGCAGTGCAAACATTAACGGAGCCTCTGAAAATCGACGAGTGTTCGTGGAGACTTCAAAGCTCAGACGGTGGCAGAGTGACCCAAGCGAATCAACAGAAACACAGAGGGGGTGCTGCCGGGGGTGCTGATAGAATTCTGCGGCTGTGCAAGGCTCCGAAGAAACCGAAGGTTCACAAGCATCGAGGAAGGCTCCGAACTCGAAAAGCAAAACCGTCGGCCTGTCCAAGCTCGCTGTTCTTGCTCCAGAAGTCCATTTGTGCCTGGCACAGGCGCAGCTTTGGTGAAAACTCCATTGGACCCTGGGCCCTTCCGGCACCAACTCGCCTCAACATGGGGATTTCGCAGCGGGACCGCGGAGCAGCCCAGGAGCTGTCGAATTTCGGGGACCTCCTCCGTCAGAGGCCTCTGCAGCTTCCAGCGGCGGCTCAGCTCGCCGAAGATATCCTCTTGTTGGCTTGCAGGCATGCAGCTGCAAACCTCCAGGTCCTCTTCGAAGGTATATTCTACGAACGGAGGAAGGACGAACTCGTGCTCAAGGCGCCCGTTGACGCCATTGAAGAACTGTACAGGAAAAGCCCAGTCCTGCTTCTGAGGTGTGTGCACCCTGATCAAGGCAAAACGCCGCATGACGAGCAACAGAACGTGCCGATGCGTGTTTGCCACTTGGGATACTTTCGAGTGGGAGGAGGCGTAGAAGTTCAAGACGTGAAGCGTGCCGGAGATATACCTGGAGAAAGAATTGAAAGACCACTGCAGGCTAGCCGCCTCTTCGTCGATAACCGCTGGCACCCAGAGGCCACGGAACAGAAGTGAGGCTTTAAGATCCACGGGGAGGAGCCCTTCCGGCGCGGATCCAGAGAGCGGCAGCAAGGAGCGCAAGTCAACTGAACATGCGTGGGCGGGACGGACGGCTTTTCCATGCTCGCGGCAAACAGCAAAAAGAGCTTGCAAGGCCGCCATCAGAAGGTAAACTAGGCATGAGTACGGTTTGCCATCGCCGGCATCCAAAGCCTCACACATCTCCAGGCTGCGCGCATGCTCCGGTATTTCGCTGCACGATGAAAATCGAAGGTACCGCATCCGAGACGTAACCTCGTACAAGTGCGGTGTGTTTCGCACATAGAGCGCGAGAGGTATGCTAACGAAGAACATATGTTTCTGATCCAAGTGCAACTTGGAGAGACACGGATCGTGATCGAGTGTGACTCCAGCAAGCCCTGCTTCGTCGGTCCGGCGCAAAGAAGCAAGAAAGTCATCCACCGACACTGCACTTTCTGCTGGTTGGTGTTCATGGCTTGGTCCCGCAGTGGTCCCATGGGAGAACACCCAAGACAGGCCAGAAAACTGCACCTGATGAGTTTGGAACTCGACGTGCTTCTCCAGCCAGCCAAAAAGCTGCTGGAGGCTTCGAGACCATGGTGGATTCGTGGGCTTGCAAGCTTCTTGGAAGTCTTTCCGAAGCTGCGCAATCAGGCTGGCCAAGGTCAGAGGCTCTGTCTCGACAGACTCCTGCTGAAGGAGGTCCGGAGGTAACCTTAGCTTTTGTTTCATCTGCTAGGTTTGTCATTCTGAAGGTGCACCCTTCATCTGCCGGAAGAAGCCTAAGAGCATCTATGGGCTGAACCACTGTAGGGAAGCAACTCAAGTAGTGTCCGCACTGACTGAAGCAGTGCTTGCCCTCCAAAGCCCTGGGAGCGCAAGTCCAGAAGCAAGTTGACGAAGGCGGTGGCATCACTTTCCCAGCACTCAGCGCTGGACATCTCATTTCGGCACAGTACCCGCCAGCGGTCGCAGTCTCACAAACATGGCGAGGTAGACAGACTCTTCTACAAGTGACTCCCCTTGGCCTCGTTGCAGTGCCCTACATGCGGTCCCTGCTAGCTATCACATATCATGGATCCTGATCGCTTCAGCCTGTGTCCCCCAATGCCATGTGTCCAGCTCGGAACTTTGGAATCAGCGCCGCGGATTGAACGACGCGCCTTTTCTGAAAATACATCCGACCAGCAACACAGCAAAAGCAAAAACCGCTTCGCCCATCTGAGTTCCGAATTGCGCCTTACCTTCTCAATTGATGGTATCCTACACATCCCACAGGAGTCTGTCCGAACACGCAGGTGTCACCTTGACCCAGGCCTCTGACGAGGGGTCCTACGTCACCGGCATTGGCCTACGCCCTGCAAACTGCTTTCAAGTCTCTGCTTCATGGTTGAGCAACCCGTGGCTCAGGACAAAGAGCAAGAAATTGAAAAGGAGCCATGTGGTGCCAAAGATGAATCTGGAGCGGATCAAGCCTCGTGAGCACTGAGCGAAACCCTCTCCAGCGGATCGTCGCAAGGTTTCGCTAGCGCGCTCATGACTTTGGTTCATCGCCTTGTTCACTCCAGCAACAAAATCTCGAAATGGTCACCCATGTACACTTCGCCTTCAAGCCTTCAGGCCATCTAGAGCACCAGGTCAACTTCCACCCAACAGAGGCCAGGCAACGGGCTTACTTCGTTCAGTAACGCAAACACTACAACCTCAACCCTTCGCTGCCTTGCCACACGATGCCGGTCACCCGCGTCAGGACTCTGTGCACCGCAATGCCGGGATCCTGCATCGGCCGCACATGCGTCGAACATTCTAAACCGAACCAACAAGCTCTTAAGAGGTGCTTTCCTGCAGCTGCACAATAGCCTTCATGCAAGGTGCGAAATCGCCGTTTCCTCGGCAGGCCAGTCTCTGCATCAAGGTAGAAGGAAGTCGGGCGAAATGATTGCAATGATTGACTTGATCCTGGTGTCTGTCCGTTATCAAGTGCTTGATGTAATAGTTCGTGCGCCGCATGCCAGCAGTCGTCAGGTGAGAGTGCCACATCATTCCATCAAGAAGAGTTTTGAGTAGGCATTGGGCCTCGAGCAGCAAGGCCTTCTGCTGAGAACGGTGCTTTGCCACAACATGACTCAAATCAAAGCCGGCCACCTGCGTGCACAGCAACTGGATGATGTCAGGATGCCTCCTCGGATTCATGAACGTCCGCGGCTGCTACCACCACGACGACATGAAGGAAAGCCGACAGTCGAATCTGCAATCGACTGGCTGCAACGGGGACTTGCTAAAGTGAAGGCCAAGGCACTCGAACAATGCATCAAGGCCTTGGCTCTTACTGTCGCGCAACGACTATCTTCGGTTGTGGTCGGCCCGTCTGCTGAGGTGTGGACTTGGCTTTCGTGAAGGACACACGCACACTCAAGACGCCTGCATCTGATCCTCTGAAGAGCAAGTACTAAATAGACAGGACACCGTAGTAATATCTCTCCCTGTCGGCTCGAATCGTCAAGAGATCCTGGATGATAAGTTCCTGGGCGCATGCACGTCAAGATATTCCTCTTGCCTTTCCTTGCTTAGCTGGCATCGCCGAAGGCCACCCTAAACCCATCTGAAACACTGAACCAGACAAGCTTCTGCAGCCACCCAGTTGCCGCTGGTGACAGCCCATTCGAGGGGAGAGATCGACTGGGTTCCCACCTCCGAAATCTATGTTCCATGCATTTCCATGCCCGTCCCTACTGCCAGCCGAGCTTGGATCCGTATTTATGTAGGGAGGTTTAGCACTGGAATGGGGGTGGCGTAGGCCTCCTGAAACCTGCCACGCAGATCCCACCAAAATAGGCTGATGTAAGTCCAAGAAAGGGAGTGCATGCCTGTGTACTTGCGTGCTTGTTCATGTTTGTGTTTGTGTTGGTGTTGGTGCTTGTGTTTGTGGTTGTAGTTGTGTTTGTGTCTGTGTCTGTGGCTGTGTTTGTGTTCGTGTGTGTGTGTGTGTTTGTTTGTGTGTGTGTGTCTGTGTGTCTGTGTGTGTCTCTGTGTGTGTCTCTGTGTGTGTCTCTGTGTGTGTCTCTGTGTGTGTCTCTGTGTGTGTCTCTGTGTGTGTCTCTGTCTCTGTGTGTGTGTGTGTGTGTGTGTGTTGGTGTTGCTGTGGTGCCTGGTCGGCTGCTGTGTGATGCTGTGTGCTGCTGTCTGAGGCTATACATATATCTGTCGTGCTGGTGCTGGTG